CCTCACAGGATGAGGTTCCCAGGCTCGAAGGCAAAGGGTCATAGACTCGGGGGACATCTACGTCAACTGGGACAAGGTAGTTCTTAAAGACAATGTTTTACATCCTACTTTGGTGAGTAGCATCTGAGGTCTTAACAGCTTGCGAGTGGTCATCTAAGATAAAATCATTGGTCTCTTTTATTGCTGTTGTCGTTAGGTGCTATTGAGTTGGTTCCAACTTGCAGTGACTCTATGTACAACAGAACAAAACACTGTCTGGTCCTGTGCCATCCTCACAGTCATTATCTTGAGCTCACTGTTGCAGCCACTGTGTCAATCCATCTTGTTGAGGGTCTTCCTCTTTTTTGCTGACCCTCTACTTTTAGCAAGCATGATGTCCTTCTCCAGGAACTGGTCTGTCATGGATTGAATTGTGTCCCCCAAAAAATGTGTGTATCAATTTGGCTAGGCCATGATTCCCAGTGTTGTGTGGTTGTCCTCCATTTTGTGATTGTGATTTTACATTAATGAGGATTAGGGTGGGATTGTAACACCACCCTAACCCAGGTCACATTCCTGATCCAATGTAAAGGGAGTTTCCCTGTAGTGTGGCCTGCACCACCTTTTCTCTCTTGTAATAGATAAAAAGAAAGGGAAGAAAGTGGAGAGTAGGGGACCTCATACCACCAAGAAAGAAGCACCAGGAGCAGAGCACATCCTTTGGACCCGAGGTTCCTGCGCAGAGAAGCTCCTAGTCCAGGAGGACCTTCCTCCAGAGTCAACAGAGAGAGAAAGCCTTCCCCTGAAGCTAACGCCCTGAATTTGGACTTCTAGCCTACTAGACTGTGAGAGAATGAACTTCTCTTTGTTAAAGCCATCCAGTTGTGGTATTTCTTTTAGAGCAGCACTAGATGGGTAAGACATGGTCCCTCCTGATAGCATGTCCAAAGTATGTGAGATGTAGTCTTACCATCCTTGCTTTTAAGGAGCATTCTGGCTGTACTTCTTCCAAGACAGATTTGTTTGTTCTTCTGGCAGTCCATGGTACATTCAATATTCTTCACCAATACCATAATTCAAAGGCATCAATTCTTCTCTGGTCTTTGTTATTCATTGTCCAGCTTTTGCATGCATATGAGGCAGTTGAAAACACCATGGCTTGGGTCAGGCACATCTTAGTCTTCAGGGTGACATCTTTACTTTTTAATACTTTAAAGAGGTCTTTTGCAGCAGAATTGTCCAATGCAATGTTTCTTTTGATTTCTTGACTGCTGCTTCCATGGGTGTTGATTGTGGATCCAAGTAAAATGAAATGTTTGACAACTTCAATCTTTTCTTCATTTATCATGATGTTGCTTATTGGTCCAGTTGTGAGTATTTTTGTTCTTTACGTTGAGGCGTAATCCATACTGAAGGCTATAGTCTTTGGTCTTCATCAGCAAGTGCTTCAAGTTCTCTTCACTTTCAGCAAGCAAGGTTGTGTCATCTGCATATCACAGGTTGTTAATGAGACTTCCTCCAATCCTGATGCCCTGTTCTTCTTCATATAGTCCAGCTTCTCAGATTATTTGCTCAGCAAACAGATTGAATAAGTATGGTAAAATGATACAACCCTGACACACAACTTCATAACTTTAAACCACAGTATCCCCTTGTTCTGTTCAAACAACTGCCTCTTGATCTATGTACAGGTTCCTCATGAGCACAATTAAGTGTTCTGGAATTCCTGTTCTTTGCAATGTTATCTATAATTTGTTATGATCCACACAGTCGAATGCCTTTGCATAGTCAATAAAACACAGGTAAACATCTTTCTGGTATTCTCTTCTTTCAGCCAGGATCCATCTGACATCAGCAATGATATCCCTCAGTCTCTTTTAGTCTGGAGCAAAGGAGAGGGAAAAATACTAAATACCCAAGGGAGCAATTAGTCCAAAGGACTAATGTACCACATGAATCACAGCCTACATGGCCCTGAGACCAGAAGAACTAGATGGTGTCCGGCCACCACTACTGACCACTCTGACTGGGATTACAATAGAGGGTACCGGACAGAGTGGGAGAAAAATGTAAAACAAACCATCAAATTCACAAAAAAGGCCAGACTTACTGGTCTGAGAGAGACTGGAGGAATGCCCGAGACTAGAGCCCCCGGACACCCTTCTGTCTCAGACTTGAAGCCATATACTGAAGTTCACCTTTCAGCCAAAGATTAGACAGGCCTATAAGACAAACAATAACACATGTGAGGGACGTGCTTCTTAGATCAATCAAGTATATGAGATAACATGGGCAACTTCTGCCCAGGAACAAAGATGAGAAGGTGGGAGGGGACAGGAAAACTGGCCAAATAGACATGGCAAACCCAGGGTGGAAAGGGAAAGGGGAAAATTGCTGACAGAATGTGGGATTGCAGCCAATGTCATGAAACAATTTGCATATAAATTTTTGAATGAGAAACTAATTTGCTATGTAAACCCTCACCTAAATCACAATAAAAATTAAAAATATATATATTTGGAACAATTTCTCCCTTCTTCCTTACTTCTCTCTCTCTCTCTCCTTCCTCACTTTGTTAAAACATGGATTTTACAAATATTTGGATATAACTGTAGGTACATATTAATTTTTATAGTTTTCCTGTATATTTTCAATGCTTAGTGACTCATAGTAATATTCAATTGCCATTTTGGAAGGTCAAACATGTTTTATGTCATTTAGCACTATAAAAATGATAACAAGTCTGTCAAGATTTAAATAATGCCCTTATTAAGGAAGTAGACTTGTTTTCTGGCCCACACCCTTGGATCCTTCTTTAAGTTATCTCTGTTTAGCCTTCCTGCTCCCCTTTTCTACTCACAGCCTCTTCACGCAGGAAACCAAGCTCATTACTTTGCATCAGCATCTGATGAAGAGTTAACATAATAAGCCCTGGTTATATTCTGAATTCAATTAAAGAAGATAGCCTATGAGAAGCTTAAAATTATGAAACAAGATTTAGCATGCTGTTTAGTAAGCAACAAATCTGAGTGTTACCTACACAGGATTCTTATCAGCAGACTTCATCCAAAACCCTTCAATGCAAATTCTAGCAATCTATACACACTTGGAAGAAAAATTTTATATTAAGCCGCATACACAATTTATACTTTTAGCATTTCTGTATATAATTTCAGAGAAAGTGGGATCACTTTAACATTTTAAAATATGGTCCTGTTTTATTTGTAATTTCAGAAACATTTTACCTAGGAGTGCTGAAAAATGATATACTATTTAGCATTTAAAGGTACATCCCACAAACAAAAAAATGAAGTCATGGTTAAGAATAAGATTTGTTTTTTAATTATCCCATCCCTTTTACCACAAAATCCACTGGAAAAAATTATTACTAAAGGATGTTACCAGAGCACAATGGAATTCTTGCATATTGAATCCAAAGTTTCTGTGGAACCTCTTCTCTGAAGGCCCACTTCCCCTCCCAACTCTACCCCATATATAAGTATACACTTCAGCGAAAGTACTCGTGTTAGGAAGAAGTGAGCTCAACATTGTCAGTCCTGTCTTTTCTGGTGCCAAAAAATTAATAAGTCGGATTCAGCTGGGATTTCGCCAACACATATCAGTGACTGCCGCTGAGACTAAATCCATGTCAGATGCTAACCAAAGGTTAGCAATTCAAACCCACCCAGTGGTGCAATGAAAAAAAAAAGGCCTGGTGATTTCCTCCCATAAAGATTACAGCCAAGAAAACCCTGTGGAGAAGTTCCACTCTGTAACACATGGGATCATCATGAGTCAGAATCGTCTTGACAGCAACTAAAAATAACAATGAGGGAAAAGTAAAAGGGAGATGGATTTCAACTTAATGTAAGGAAACATTTTCTGTCAGTGCCTCCAGAAGTAGACTGGAAAACCTTGTGAAGTACTTTAAGTTCTCAACGCTGGAGGTACTAGAATATATTTGGTCAAATACTTGGTGAGAAAGATCTGAGCTACATTTAACATTAAGTCAAACCGTTATACTCTATGACTCTGACATAAAATATGTTGAATCACCAATAAAGGCAGCTAAAAACATGAGATAATGGAAAGTTGCATCAAAAAGTTGTTTTTCATTATGTACCTAGACCCTCATTTAAGTGTAAGTAAAAATGTAACACATGGGTGAGATCAGATGTGTTAAAGAATCTCATTGCGTTTTCGTTAGAAATTTCCTTTCAATATGTAAGTAGTGTGCTCAGTATTACAAGAATTGAAACTTCTTTAGAAATTATATTTTGAAACTTTCATCAAAATAGTTGTGATAAAGTGTTCCTTCTCTACCACTTTCATTCAACAGGCTTTACAATTGAGTGCAGCACAAATATCTTTCCTTGTTGACATATGAGTCCCCCAGCTCCCCCCACATAGGGTTATTCTATAGCAAGTTTGTTGCTCTATTGATTTTTTTATGGAAATCTCATATTGGTGGAATAGAAACAGGAGAAAGAAGCATGTCTCCTATCCAAAAAGCATGCTGGAAAAAAATAATTTGCTGTGAGTTCTAGGAAACTCTAAATAGGTTTTAAAAATGAAGAACACCTTCGTGAAAGCATTAGTTATAACCAGCTTAGAAAAAGCAATGAGAATTCTCCAGAAAGAGGGAGGGAAATCAAACTAATTGATCAGATGTTGGAATGTTGACTCATGAAGCATTCAATGGTGTGTCTTAAAAGGGCCAGTTTCCATTTAGATATCTGGTACGTACAAATAGTAAAATTTATGCCTTATATTCTCCATGATTTTTAAATTTTGCTATTGCTTTGGCTCTATGTAAGGAAAAATACAAATTGTCTATTTGTTTTTATATCACAATCTGCAACTTGTAAATCCTCTATGGGAAACTTTTAAATCTATGGGACTATCAGATTATACTTTTTGGCAATTAAAGATAAAAGTGTTATTTACTGTTTTCCACCACCTGCAGTTGTGTTCTTCCTGATAATAACATTAGTGCACTTCATATTGTTATATTTTACAACAAAAAGTCATTAAGAAGACTATTTTCAAAGAGTATCTCACCTGAAAATTAGTGTGCATGAAGCAGGTACATGGACAATAAATAAGCAAAATGATGTCTACCTGAGTACTAAGATATATAATTATATCTGTAGAAATATTATTTCACTAAGCTATTAGACCAAATTATTTTTCAATACATTTAGATTTTGTTTGTATGTAATGTATTTTAATTTTTATTCACATACTATATAAAATGACTGCTGTATTTTCCTATTTTTCTTTTAAAATAAACAGATCAATTAGGATTTCAAAAAATAATTCAAATAATAGATCCAAATAAAAAATCACAAATTATCTTATCATGAGTTAATGCTTACAATACTTACCTTATAAACAAGGAGCTTTTCCAATCTTATGGCCTTGTTATTTTAAAAATAAAAACTCAAAGAGATGTATATACCCCGTAAAAATAATGTTCATCTATTATACTCCTTAATTTATTAGTCAGGAGATCTCATTTACAAACTAAAAAACCAAAACCAAACTTGTCGCCATTAACCTGATTCTGATTCATGGCAACCCCATGTGTTACAGGGTAAAAGTGCTCCATAGGGTTTTCTTGGCTGTAATCTTTACAGAAACAGATTGCCAGGCCTTTCTTCTGTGGCATCACTGGGTAGGTTCGAACTGCCAAACTTTAGATTAGTAGCTGAGGGCAAACTATTTGCACTAGGGATCTCACTTACAAAACTAGACTGGACATAAAGAAGGGTAAGGGAAAACTGTCTAGTTTCTAAAATTTTAATGCTGCCACATCAAGGGCAATCTAGGATAATAAGTACTATAGTCTGCATTGGACCTATCGCTTTGGTGATATAGTAGCAGTATTCTGGAAAAAATGGAACATCTGATTGTCACACCTGATTGCATACCATAATATGAGTAAATAGAACCACAGGTCTTCAGGCACCATCTCATCCTCAGATCCAGACTTACAAGATTACATCATCTGAAATGGAAAATATCTAAGAAAACTTCCCTTTGGAAAAGGCAACATTATGTTTAGATGACTCGTATTCCCATGTACAGATCATTTCTATGCAATATTTTATACATTTTTACTATAATCAATATACCATTTAAATAATTGTCGCTATAAATGATTAGCACTGCAACAACAGAACACATTCCAAAAAGTATTGGGGTCTTTAGAAGTTACAATGTTTAAATGTCATTATTCTCCTTCATAAGGCTTTTGCATCATAACTTTTTCTGCATCATGGAAAGCTGGAAATGCCCTCTAAATATATTTAGAAAAAATGTATGGGAAAATAAGAACAATTTTACAAGGTTCATATATTTTTAAAATTACCCTTAATAATAAACCATTTTCCATGGGATATCAAGGAACACATTTTTCAGACCACCAGGATAGCATTTGAGCAATCCAAATGATTAGATTATTAAATTTTGACTAAACCTAGAGTCTAGTCTTTTTTCTTAAATACCTGTATGACATTAGAGGAGTCAGAATTCCTGGACCTTGATTTCTTTATCTGCATAATGAATGGACTGGGCTAAATAATCCCTTTCTGCTTGAAAATTCTCTAATTCTATTACCGAGCCTCCACCCAAAGTAGATCTCCAGTACCAACTAATGATACAAGTGAAAACTATGTCTTGACCATATCTTGTTAAATTAACTGTGTAAATATTAACATCAACAGCCAAAGGGATCTTGGAGCACTGCAGAAGTAACTCAGAAACATAACAATTTTCACATATCTAAAGAAGATGTAGAAAATTTACATGATCACAGAAGCCTGTTCACAGAAAAAGAGAAAGGGATCGATTTGACCAACCAGGCTCTAACCATGCTTACTACTTTAATCTAAATCTAGAATGATATTCATCTGTCAATGGACATGAAGGATTTTTAGGTGTAACACATCTTGACTTGATATAAAAATATATACAACAGTAAACTAAAACATAGTAAATCAAAAAATTGATCAATTATTGAAACTGAAATAAGAATTCTAAATTATTGAAGCCTCTTATATATGTAAGCCAATCATTGTTCAAATGATCTGATATACTAGCTCCATGGTGTCAAATTATTAAGAAACTACTACAAGAAGACAATAAAGAAACCAAAATTAAGTACAAACAACAGTGGACTGAAAACTATCGCTGGCTTTTCACTTACAAAATATCAGTTCAATCACATATTCATTCAAGAAACATTTACTGCACATCTTCTAAATACCAGGTGCTATGTTATATGCTACAGCCCTGGC